CTACAATAAATCAAAAAAATCAGCTGGGCGTGGTGGCGCATGCCTGTAATTCCGGCTACTCGGAAGGCTGAGGTGGAAGGATCGCCGGAGCCCAGCAGGCCGAGGCTGCGGTGGCCGGGAGCGGCCACTGCACTCCAGTGTGGGCGACAGAGTGAGACTCCAACTCAAAAAAAAAAAAAAAAAAAAAAAAAAAAAAACGTAAAAATAACCTGGGCTTGGTGGCTCAGCCTGTCATCCCAGCACTTTGGGAGACCGAGGTGAGTGGATTGCCTGAGCCTGCGGGTTCGAGACCCGCCTAGGCAACTTGGCAAGACCTCGTCTCTACAATAAATCAAAAATTAGCCGGGCGTGGTAGCGCGCGCCTGTAGTTCCAGCTACTCGGAAGGCTGAGGCGGAAGGATCGCCAGAGCCTTCTGCCACTGCACTCCAGTCTGGGCGACAGAGTGAGACTCCAACTCAAAAAAAAAAAAAGTAAACATAGGTTCGAAGTTGGTTGGGCATGGTGGCTCATTTAATCCCAGTACTTTGAGGTTGAGGCATAAGAATTGCTTAAGACCAGGACTTCAAGACAGCCTGGGCAACATAGTGAGGCCCTGTCTCTACCAGAAAGTAAAAAAAAAAAAAAAAAAGTGGCATATGCCCAGTAGTCCCAGTTATTTGGGAAGCTGAAGCAGGATGATCGCTTAATCTCAGGAGTTCGAAGCTGCATTAAACTATGGTTGTGCCACTGCACTCCACCCTGGGCAACAGAGTGAGACCTTGTCTCTAGAAATAAATTTTAAAAAAAATATTAAAAATGACTGGGTGCAGTAGTTCAAGTCTGTAATCTCAGCACTTTGGGAGGCTGAGATGAGAGGATTGCCTAAACCCATGGGTTCGAGACCAGCCTGGGCACTTTGGTGAGAACTCATCTGTGCAATAAATAAATAATTAATTAATTAACTGGGCGTGGTGGCACGTGTCTGTGGTTCCAGCTACTTGGAAGGCTGAGGCGGAAGGATCACTCGAGCCCAGCAGGTCAAGGCTGCGGTAGCTATGAATGTGCCACTGCACTCCAGCATGGGCAACAGAGTGAGATTCCAACTAAAAAAAAAAAAAGATTAAAAATGAATACAAACTATAGACCAAACCCAGCAGACAGCCACATCCTCAGGCACTGTGAAGGGTTAATCCCCGACTGTGAGGCTTTTAGGCTACCCTTCCTGACTTGTTTCCCAGAAGTAAACCTAAGAGTGTTGTCTAGACCCCAGAGATTTAAGATGCCATGGAAAGATGGAGACATGCTCCAAATTCCTTATTGTTGCTGAAAGATGCAATGGTAAAAATTCTACAGTGGATGTGCCTATCAGGAGACCAAAGGTCTTGGAATCTTCCAGTTTCCGTGGAATGTGTTTATTGAACACCTCTCTGTGCCACACACCATGCTGCATACCGGGACGCCCAGGTCCATCAACAAAGCAAGCTCACTGCTTATGGTGAGAGACTTGAAGATATTATAGGGATCAGCACACAATGGAAGGAGAGGTCAACTCTATTGGGGACAGGTAGAGACTCGCCAAAGTGTGTTCTCTTGCCAGAGGTAACTTCATCTGGGCTTTGAAGAGTGAGTGGGATTTATTAGATGGGGAGGAGGAAGAGGCACGTACAAGATGGCAGGGCAGGAAGGGAAGGCAGGATTTCCGGGGAACGATGGAAAGTGACTGGGAACACGGGTCTGGAGCCCAGGAAGGCGGAGGTCAGGAGTGTGCTTTTGGAAATTTCTTGCAGGCTGGGGAGGTCTGGGATATGCAGGTGGGAATCTCAGAGGGACAGAGGACTGGACAGGAATCTTGGCTTCTCACGTGTAGGGGGTGGGAAGAGGACAGGGCTCCACCACAGTAACCAAAGGGGGGAAGAGAAGGAGGCGAGTGAACCGAGGGAGGATGGGGTTTCCTGAAAGAAGGGGTTACCAGCTGGGCAGGAGTGCAGAGAAAAACATGGCGGTTGAGTAAGAGGGGCGGATAAACTGGGAGTGGGTTGCCTGTGGGTGCTCTTCATGACTGGTGAGCCATGGCTGGTCAGAAAGAAGCCCCCAAGTCCCTGAGCTGGGGCGGGGAGAGCTTGTGCTTGGGTCTGCCCGACTGTGTCTTCTCCTCTGTCCCCTGGAGCCAGAGCACGCTTTGGTGCGTGAGCCCAGCCTGAATGCTTGGTTCTGCATTTGTACATCTGCCTTGAGGAACTTGCCTCGAAGGTTTGGAAAGGTTGAGGGGTTTGACACGTGGCATTTTTGGACGTTTATTTGACAAGGGAAAAACAACTGAGCTGTACTGGATTTAAAAGGATAGGACTGACGATCTAGACTGACGTTAAAATAATTGAGAAAACAATTTGTTTAATGAATAAGAAGTTGACATTAGATTTGCACTTCAAGGTGGAAGTTTAAAATAAAAGAGAGCATTTTGGTACCGGGCTGTTCATTGCAGAATTATCTGCAATATCAAAATGGAAGGCAACATAAATATTCAACAGGAAGGCGGTGACTAAACAAATTGCAGTTGTCGCGAGGGGTGTTGCTTCTAGGACTCCCCTTGGATTTCCAAATTGCTCAAGTCCCTGATGGAAAATGGCGTCATATTTGCATCTAACCTGCACTTCTGTCTGGGTACTTTAAATCTTCCCTAGATTACTAATCATGCCTAATGGAATGTAAATGTTATGTAAATAGTTGTACTGTATTTTGTTCTTATTATTTTTGTTGTTCTGCTATGTTTTTATTGTCCCCCCCCCAATATTTTCTATCCACGGTTGGTTGGCTGAATTTGTGGATGTGAAACCCATGGATATGGAGACCCGACTGTATACTATATTCATAGAAAGAAAGAACAAAATGTTTATTAACCTGGGATAATCCTCCTGGTACAGTAAGTGCAAAAAAGTAGGATCTTTCTCTAGCTGGTGGGATTAAAGGTGACTGTCTCTTTTTATCCATTTCTGAATTTGTCAAATTCTCTAAAATGAGTATGCATCACCATTATTATTATTTTGAGTGGGAGGGGTCTCACTCTTGTCATCCTGGCTGGAGTGCAGTGGCACGATCAAGGCTCACTGCAGCTTCGACCTCCTGGGCCCAGGCAATCCCCTGCTTCAGCCTTCTGAGTTGCCGGGATTATAGCTTGGCTGACTTTTTAAGTTTTTGTGGAGATAGGGTCTTGCTATGCTACCATGCTAGTCTTGATCTTCTAGGCTCAAGCAATCCTCCCGTCTTGGCCTCCCAAAGCACTGGAATTACAGGCTTGAGCCACCATGCCTGGCCAAGCATGCATCGTTTTTTTTTGAGTTGGAGTCTCACTCTGTCACCCAGACTGGAGTGCAGTGGCCGTCCCGGCCACCACAGCCTCTACCTGCTAGGCTCCGGCGATCCTTCCAGGTAGCTGGAACTACAGGTGCGCACTACCACGCCTGGCTAATTTTTTGATTTATTGTAGAGATGAGGTCTCGCCAAGTTGCCCAGGCGGGTCTCGAACCCGTGGGCTCGAACAATCCACTCACCTCAGCCTCCCTAAGCGCTAGGATTACAAGCTGAGCGACCGAGCCCGGCTGCATGCATCATTTCAATCATGGGAACAACAGGGCAGCTCAGCAGGGCTTTATTTATTTATTTATTTGAGTTGGAGTGTCACTCTGTCACCCAGACTGGAGTGCAGTGGCCGCTCCCGGCCACCGCAGCCTCGACCTGCTGGGCTCCGGCGATCCCTCCGCCTCAGCCTTCCGAGTAGCTGGAATTACAGGCGCACGCTACCATGCCTGGCTAATTTTTGTGTTATTGTAGAGATGAGGTCTCGCCAAGTTGCCCGGGCGGGTCTCGAATCCGCGGGCTCAGGCAACCCACTCACCTCGGCCTCCCAAGGCGTGGGATTACAGGCTGAGCCACTGGGGCAGGGCTTTATATGCAGGTGGTGAGGGGGGAAGGTCCCAGGGTTCCTGGTTGGGGGACGCAGCTCAAGTGCATCTGTTTCCAACTGGTCTTGTGACAGGGGACAAGTCCTGTGACCTCTGGGAGAGGCCTTCATTTCTCACTGAGTCTGGCCTGGAGTGGAGAGGGAGAAGATGGTCAGGGAAAGGGAGGACCTACCTCCAGGTCGAAGCTGTCCAGGGCTGGGCGGAGCTTCTCCCGGCAGGTGAGACAGTCCCTCTGACAACTGCTGAAGACGCTGGGGAGGAGGCTGGGCAGCAGGAGGACACAAAGCAGGACTTTCATGGTGCAAGAGCAGCAGGAAGCAGGATGCTGGAATACACGCAAGGGGGCGTGGCAGTCAGCACAGGCATTCTCGGGGTGCTGGTCAGGGCTGGAGACCCTGCCCCAAGGGGTGCAGGGCAAACACCCCGCAGCCAGGGGCCTCAGAGTCACCTCCCGGAGTGTGGATTGTCGCGGGCACAGGTGACCCGGCCCCTTCACCCAGACCCAATGCTCATGCACCGGCTAGTGTCTGGGTTCCTGGGGCGAGCACCCTAGGGACTCCTGCCACCCGGCTGGACTTGATGCCGCAAGAGAACTTCTGGGAGCCGCTTTGGGGGTAGAGGCAGCTTTCCTGGGAGCCAAAGGCATCGATCTGCAGCCTTCTAGTGTGCGACCTCAAGTCGACTTCTCTGAGCCTTAGTTTTCATAGCCATAAATCGGCCACGGGGTACTTACCTTGTTATATATAGGGCCATCGTGAAGATGAAATGAGATCCGTAAGAGAAGTTTTGCAATGTGAGATGAGTAAAATATGAGATTTATTAGCGATGTATAGGCTCCCTCTCACCCCCCCCCCGGCCTTCCCTGCCTTGGCCAGGAATGCCTCAAGCCCCGAATTCTCTCTTCCAGGAAGCTTCTGCAGGAAGCCTTGAACTCCTGGGCTCAGGTGATCCTCCTATCTCCTTGTCCGTTATCCCCACTAGATGTGAGCTGGTGCTAGGGCCTGAACGTTTGTGTCTCCCCCAAATTCCTATGTTGAAACCATAATCCCCAGGGTGATGGTTTAGGGGGACGGGGCCTTTGGAAGATGATAATGTCAGGAGGGTGGAGCCCTCATGAATGGGATTGGTGCCCTTATAAAAGCCCCAGAGAGCTCCCTCGCCCTACTGCCCCATGAGGACACGGTGAGAAGGGGCCATCTATAAACCAGGAGATGGGCTTCCCAGACACTGAATCTCCAGGCACCTTGATCTTGGACTTCTCAGCCTTAAGGACCGGGGGAAGGAAATTTCTGTTGTTTATAAGCCACCTAGTCTATGATCTTTTGTTCCAGCAGCCCCAACGGATGAAGACAGCTGGCTTCCTGAGCAAAGGACCACAGTGTTCGCCTTGGTATTTCATGCCAAGCACAGGACCTGGCATGTGGAATTATGTACTGAAAAATGAACGAAGAATCTCTCCTAAGATAGTAGCTCCAATGATTAAATGATTAGTTAGCCAACTCAGCAGTTTATAGTCTTTATGCAGGATTGCCTGAAAGGTGTACAGTTTTTCCTTTTTTTTTCTGAATTGGGGTCTCACTTTGTTGCTGGAGTACCGTGGCGTGATCATGGCCTTGAACTCCTGGGCTCAGGTGATCCTCCTATCTCAGCTTCCTGAGTAACTGGGACTACAGGCATGTTCCACCACATCCAGATGATTTTATTTTATTTTATTTTATTTTTGTGGAGACGAGGTCTCGCTATCTTGCCCAGGCTGGTCTTGAACTTCTGACCTCAAGCAGTCCTTTTACCTTGGCCTCCCAAAGTGGTAGGAATGGTAAGCCACTGTGCCCAGCCTGTTTCTCCTTAAAACTGATCTTTTGAACAAAATTCCTGAATCAGAAAGCTATTTTCTTGGACTGCTTCATTTTGAGTCTCTGTAGAACCATCTCTACTTGGAAGATTAAACAAAAATGGGAATAAAGAACTTTCTGGAAATGTAAATGTTCTTGATTGAGACCACAGGGGTGTCTAAGTATTTGCCAAAACCTGTCGAATTGTACATTTAAATTCTGTGCATTTCACTGTATGCACATTTTCCTTTAATAAAGAGTTCAGTGTAGAAAAGCAAAACTAGCAGGGAGGACCCAAATAAACTGGAATTATCTTTTGGGAGGTGGGTCCCTTGAAGACAGGCTTCTCCTGCTAGGTGAGTGCCCTGGGAACCCGTCGGCATCAATGTACTAGCTGGCATTGTTGTGAGAGGTTGCGTTTGGCTTCAGTGAATCTTTTTTTAGAGCCTTTCAACACGTTTGCCCATTTCATGATGGGTGATTTACAAGCGTCCCTGCCCACACCACACTGACTGTTCAGCAGATTTGGGCCCAAAATGGCATGACCCCTGTGTCCCACCTTTCTTATTCCCCCGATCTTGCCCCGACCACATTTTTTTTTTGTTGCCCCGGATGAAAAAAGTCCTCAAAGGGAAATGGTTTTGCTGATATGGAAGAGGTGAACCGAAAAACAGCAGAAGCACTAAAAGGCATCAAAAGTGATGAGCTCAAAAACTGCTTTGAGCCGTGGAAAAAGCATCTCGATAGGTGTATTGCATCAAACGGAGAGGACTTTGAAGGGGACTGAAGTTGAGACATGTAAGAATAAGTACACAATTTCTGTAAATACATCTCTGGTGTTTTGGGTCCCCTCCTCATCATTGCCTTTGTTGCTTTTTTCAACAGGCGATGTGGAGACAATGTTTGAGGTCTCGCTACTCCAAGGCGGCCTGCAGACCCGCTGGGATCTTGTTAGAAATGCAGACTCCTGGGCCCCATTCCCGAACTACTTGCTTCTGGCAAGATTCCCAGGAGACGTACAGCAGTGCCGAAGTGTGAGCAGCCCTGGCGTGAAGCGCAAGCCAATCGGAAAAAGGAGGGGACCTGCCGCTGAAGTCACCCGATGGCCGTGTCGGGAGGCCACCCCAACCCTTCATCGATGCATCAGCAAAGCGTTTCACACCAGAAGAGGCACAACTATAGGGCTACTCGGTCCATGTTCATCAAATCAGTGAGTAGACATTGGAGATGGCTTTTCAAAACGAGTAAGAGTTTGCCAGGGGACAGAGAAGACGGCATTTGAGAGACCCAGGAGACAGCGCTGAGAAGTCAGGATCAGAGCCTGTGAGGGGTAGAGAGCAGACAGGTGTACCAGGCCCCTACCCACATGCCCTGAGGTAAGTACCGCCGACAGGGAGGCAGGGAGGCTGGACCCAGACAGCAGACTTCAGCTCATCAGGATTCTTTTTTTTTCTTTTGAGTCAGGGTCTCACTCTGTCACCCAGGCTGGAGTGCAGTAGCATGATCATGGCTGCCGCAGCCTCGACCTGCTAGGTTTAGGCAATCCTTCCACCTCAGCCTCTCGAGTAGCTGGGACTACAGGCGCGCACCACCACACCTGGCTAATTCTTTGATTTATTGTAGTGACAAATTCTCGCCATGTTGCCCAGGCTAGTTTCAAACTCCCGAGCTCAGGCTATCCTCCTGCCTTGGCCTCCCAAAGTGCTGCATGCATTACAGCCATGAGCCACGGTGCCTGGCCTCAACAAGTTCTTGATACCCAAAGAAATCAAGCTCTACCCTACAGATAGCAAGATGCCTCGGGCTAACGAATAGCGAACACAAACATCGACATAAGCAAATGTAGAGCAAAGGCCATTTGCGATGTGAATTTTCCTCCTCAATTCCACGGGCCAGTGCCTTAGTTGAGATTTATTGCCCTGGTTATTGGAGTAGCCTCCCAATGAGCCCACCTAACGATCTGGCCGCCCTCCCAGCCATCTCCAGATCTGCTGATGTCATTTCACGTTTCACCTAATTCGATAACCCCCCTGGCTGTCAGGAGGAATTCCAAGGACTGAGCTTCGCACTGGCTCCTGCTGTCACCGTGGCAGCGTCTCTCGTCTTGGCGGATCACTTCGCGTTCCAGGCCGGCTCTTAGTGTCATTGCATGTTGGCACGTGTTCTCTGTGTCCAGCACGATTCCCTCTGGGAAGGCCTCTCCACCCTCTGCTGCCCTGGCATCTGGAGGCAGCACGTTCTAGCGGGAGGCCAGTGGGTCTCGGGTGCCCCGTCTATCAAAACGGGCAAAGCAGACCCACATGGCAGAGGGGTCGTGCTGTGTGTTTTCTTCTCTGCTTGGGACTTCAGACTACCTGAGTTCGATTGCTTCTGCCACCTGCCAGCTGCACTTAACTCTCAGTCCCTCATCTGTGAAAACGGGGTGATAATACCTCTCTCACAAGACGATTAGCAGGTTAATGTCTGTAAGCAGTTAAAATAGCACCTGGCACATAGTAAGAACTCTATAGAAGCTTATGAGAGAAGGAAAGAGCCCAGCACAGAGCACTCACTCTATAATACTTTTACCGTCTCTCATGGCACTTAGCACATGCCACTGTAAACTTGGACTTGTATATCTTTCTCTCACTGGACTGTGACTTCCTGGAGGTCAGAGATCACGTTCTCTGTATTCTGAGCACAGAGTGATGCTTAGAAAGAGCTCAATAGGCGTTTGACAAATGACAATGGAGTATCTCAGGAGCTCTTTCTCCTCTTCAGCAAATAGAGAGTTGAAGAGTGCCAGGAGTGGTGGTGTACGCCTATTGTCCTGACCCTTTGGGAGGCCAAGGTGGGAGGATCGCTTGAGGCCAGGAGTTCGAGACCAGCCTGGGCGACATAGTGAGACCTCATCTCTACAAACAAATTTAAAAATTAACTGGGAGTAATGGCGCATGCCTGTAGTCCCAGCTACTCGGGAGGCTGAGGCGGGAGGATTGCTTGAGTCCAGGAGCTCTGGGCTGTAGTGTGTTATGCCAATCTGGTGTCTGCACTGAGTTTGGCATTCATCTGGGGGCCTCCTGGGAAAGCTGGGAAGTTTCTAGGAGCCTCCCTGGGGACCCAAGATGTTCCTGGCACAGGGCTGCTTTAGGACCCGTGTCACCGACAGAGTGTCGTTAGGGAACGCTCCCGTTTGAAGGGAGAGAGGTAGGAGCTAGTTTTGTCCCATAGCAAAGCAAGATGCCATCTTGAGCTGGAACTCCGCCACACGTTCTGGTAGAAGCCTGGCTGCAGACAGCCAGCAGGTGCGGAATAGCATGAGCTGCTGGCCTGCGCAGGCTCGGTGGGTGTGGGTGGTCGAGCCACGAACACTTCCTGCTTTCGGGACCTACGGAAGAGAACTGTAGCCCGTTTCAAACAGCCATCGTGCAGTGCAACTGTGTTAGAACACAAGCCAGCCCTCCACTGCGGACTGGCCAAGTCTTTCATTTATTTAATCTGAGAAAGGCCTTGA